AGGGCTCATTTGTATGATGAGAAAGTGGACAAATTGAGCCAAAGAGAACAGATCCCTCTCACCATAAGTGACATTGACTTGCATTCTTATTCCATTTTGAAATAGACATGATGCTACCAAGAAGCTCTAGAGGTTTTCTAGACGATGCCATCGATCATTTACTCGGCTTTAGCGCAAGCACTTTGTTTAAAATAACAAAACCCAGGCTGACAAATCAAATAAAAAGTGATACGCATATCGATTTTCATGGGTGCCAGATACTTGAGACCAACCATGTATATTTCAGCTGATGTCAAACGACTTGCTATGGGTTTTGTGACTTCCACCTTGGCAAACAGATGGCAATGAGTTATCACTCAAAAAACCATGACAAATACTTTAACACGTTATAATCTTGGGATCGAAGAAAAACCAATTTTGGGAATCAGAGGAGGAAACATTAGAAGATATTTTTCAGGCGTTCCCCCTTTATAAATAGATGCAAAACTTTATATTTTCATTTCTGGGTTCAGTTCAAGGAGAATGGCCAAAGTGTTTCTTCTTTCCGCCCTCCTCGTTGGCCTGCTGCTCTTCGTAGCCAATGCATCTCGCAACACTCAGCATACGTGTCCGCATTCTTGCAAATCGTTTGTCTAACTTGCAGATATCGTTCTAGTGACTGACAAGGAGAGCGATGTGACTTACATCGTTGAGGGGTCTCGTGAAGGTAGTAACGAGGCTGCTGGTCTCAATGTTGTCATCCCCTCCAAACACGGTAACATAGATCACGTTATGATCCCTCTTGTTGTGATCATGAGCTGTTCTTGTGATATTTATTATGCGCCACTGCTTCTCCGTTTGTTAATAATGCAAGCCTCCAAGATACGTACTGCTGCCTGAGGAACGCCTTTGGATGTCTTCAGAAGTGCGACTCCAACATCAATTACTTCTGCTGCCTCAAGAATGCAATAGGTGGCTGCTTACAGATGTGCGACTCATCCAAGAAACACTACTGCTGCAAGAAGAACCTTTTTGGCACCTGCGTTGAAATGTGCCCCAAAACGGTGAACCTGATGAAGTGATCTGCGTTTGATGGCAAGTGTAAGCAACATCTGGGATCAAAAGCTTATAATTGCTGATACTCTCTACAAATTTTATATTTTTACAAGATTTTCGCTATACTTTTACTTTTTTCAACTGAGTTTGTAAGGTAGCTTGCCATGCCACTGCTGCTGGATCGTCCAATTATAGTTCGTTCTAAGGTTCTAAGAATATATAAACTTGAATTTTAGCTCGATTCATAAGATCGTCCGCTGGTTCTCCTTGGACAACGCCAACAGGAATCCACAAAGGGATGTCCGCTTGTTGTGGCAAAGAGTCAAGGGTGGCAAAGGGAAGCTTGTGGTGGATCAGATTCAAAGGTTGCAAGCCTGTGAACACAGGCAAAGGTGGCAAGCCTACAAGCAAAAGGCAAAGGTGCTGCCAAGAGTAGAGAACTGCTGTTTGCATGAACCTACGCACCCGAAATACTACTCGATAGCCCTGCTCATGATCCACTAGAGTTGCAAGCTCATGATCAAATGGCAGTTCTAAGCAATACCATTTCCACTTGTTGAAGAATGGGTTTCCCCAACCCAAAAACTCTGCCTTCCTGGACCAGCACCATTGAGAGACCAACTCGATAACGATGGCAGTAACGATGTCCCTATGGTGGATTTGTATGGCAAGTGTGGAAGCACGATTAATTCTCGGCTGGTTCTACGTCCGGAGAAGACATGGTAAAGCTGGAACATAGCGTTTTGAAAACCATGGAGAATCAAGCTTCTTTCCAAACCTTGCGAACAGAGCTGAAGCAGGTTTGCTCTATCGAAGAATAGTTAAGCATGGCCTTGCATCTGCCGCAAACGTCGTGAGCTTGTTACTTCCATTGAATCAAAGAGGTCCATGAAGCTGGACAAGTACTGTGACCATCGCGTTCCAAAGGGTGACGTTCTTGTAACTTGTTTGATAAAAGATCTCAAGTAGCGGATCCATGTATAAGCCATGGGTAGGAGCGAAGATCGGAAGTCATTCGAACAGATCCCCCTTTTGGGCATTAAGATAAGCGCATTCCAGACCGCTAAATCTCTTTGTTTCATGCAATCAAAGAGATCCTTTGCCTCCTGGAGCTCTTCTTGGCGAGGTGTGGCATCTATGATCGTCGTCCATGAGATCACATCCAAGCAAGGGATTCGAACGAAGAGCTTTCGCGCTTTGCACAGCATCGCGTTCCAGCAGATCGCATTCCTGCCAATGATCCGATCAAAGCACTGCTCCGCGCTCTCGGCCTCGCCAGTCCTTCCATAAACCACAACGATCGCTGTCCCCACAGCGATCTGGGTGTAAATTCCCAGCCAGATCGCTTCCATGGCGATCGCCTTTCCCAGATCTCATCCCGGCAATGGCATCGAGAACGGTCACGAAGCTGATGGAATCCGGCGCCATCCAAGCCCCGGTAGAATCGCAGCGCCTCTCTGCAATGCCCGTTCTGGGCATACGCCGAGATGATTGTTCCAGGACACAAGATCTCTCTCCGGCATGGAATCGAAGAGCTCCTGCGACCGCGGGAGGTCCCAGCGCCCGCGTACCCGGCGATCAGCGCATTCCAGGAGACCACATCGCGCAGAGCCATTCGCGTGAAAACTTCCCTGACTCTGACAAGATCCCCTGTCTGGGCAAATGCTCGAAGCAAGATCGTCCACGAGTAGACGTTGTGGCGGGCGGTGCCGCTGTGGAAGACGATCTCTGCATCGGGCAGGCTGCCGCAGACGCTGTACATGCGAATGACGAGATTCGCGATGCGATCCAGGCCTGCCCTGGCGATCTGCGAGTGAAGAATGCGCCTCCGTGGGAAAGAAAGAACCATGATGCTTTTTAGGGTTTTAGAATATTTTCTTGGCGCCAAGAAGCTATGGCGATGGCGATCAGAGGTAGCTCTCGACCTAATCGATCGATGCATCGATCCAGATGGGGCTCGAATCTTGCTCGTATTTCCTAGTCTCGAATCTTTCGATGCTATACGCGATTGCTTACGCTGAGAAATCTGGGATGACGCGAATGCTTCCAAATCATTCCTTCGTCAGCAGGGATCTGTGAATCTCTCTAACGCATTCCATCACTTTTCTTATAATATTTTCTATGCGTTGTATCAGAGAGGCCTGGCGATCGAGAGGAATAGCTCCATCAAATTAGACAAAGCTGGGATTGCTTTCTACGACCTATGGCGATCATACAGGTTCTACTTTTCCCTCTCAGCTTTTTTTTTTGGTTCTTTCCTTCTTGCTTTTGTCCTCTCGTTTTACGTATCCTTTTCTTTTTTTCTCCTTGTGTTCCTTCTAGAGCTCTGATTCATGCTACATTGCAAGTTTTCTAGCTAGCCTTTAAGCTTTGTTTCTTTCTTTCGCAAACATACCACGGTCTTTGGATCCTTTCCTTTTGCCTGTGTTGTTTTGCTCTCTCTTTTTTTTTTTCTATACTATCACATTGTCCTGCGTTTGTGTGCCAGGAACGATTTCGCTTTTCCACGTTCTATTTATTATTACTTTCACATCAGTTCACGTGTGGCGCTGCAGCAACAGGCGTTCTCGTCCAGCCTTTGCAGTGGTCAAGTAGTATAATTCTTACCATCTCTTGTTTCTCTTTTAGTTGATCGCTAAAGTCGGTGCTTTGTCATACAGCGGATCATTGTCAGGCTCGTCGCAACCGAGTCAAGAGGAATCCAGGCGATTTTCATCTGTCAGTGAGGACCAAGACCGCGGTAAGCTCCTCTGATTGAGTGAGAGTCCTGTAACTTCGCTTCTGTTACAGCGACAGAGAGTCCGACTCCAAGTTTCCAAGTTTCCAAGTTTTCTTTTCGCTCCACGCGGTGACAGGTTCTTTTTTCTATGCTGATGGTTTTTATAAGATTATGTAAAACTGGTCTTGCAGGGTGGCGAGAGATATTTCATTGAAAATGCGAGGCACATTGGACAGTCAGTGTCGCTTTGTCACAGGAATAGAGCAGAGGTGGCCTGGGGACGTGGGATTCTTGAGCCATGCAGAGGACGCAACTCCGGGCTGGCACTGAGGAGAAAGTCTGGACGATTCAATTTTCCAGGGAGGAGGAAGGAAAAGAAAAGAGGAGGAGACGCAAGGCATCGGGTCCACTCTTGGTCGTAAAAGGAAGGACGAGACAGCCCATATGAGCGCACCATTAATGCAGCTGCCACAGATTTCTCTGCGGCTTGCGGTACTCTTGTAGTTCCAACTGCAAGCACTGGATGGGAAAACAAAAAAAAACAGAGGAGAAAAGCAGGAGGACGACGAGACGAGCTTCACCGTCGTCTTTGATTTCGGTGAACAACGCAATGGAACAGGAGGAACAACATGGTGGTGTAAGAGGCCAAGTGATAGACATTGAGGAGTTCCCTCCCGGGACGAGGTGAAAGTATTTTAGTATACATCACTGGGCCTTTATTCTATCTCTGAGGAAGCAGGAACTTCGGGTTGAATAGTAGCGGTAGTAGTCAGTCAACAGGGAATGCTCGAGATCAATTGAGTCGACGACGGCAGTATAAAAGAGAAATCTCTGAAACAGCAAACGAGGACGCTCTCCGCCATCTTCCTCCGAGCTCCTCCAGCTGAAACCTCTCCTGCGATGGCGAAATTCGCATCGCTTCTACAGGTCATTGCTCTTCTTCTTCAGCTGGCCGACTGTAGGAAGCTCAAACAGCAGCAGCAGCACGGTAAGTTTTTTTCAAGCAAGAACTTCCTCCAAAGTCTCACAAACAGCGGTTTTTTCTTCTTGCAGGAGACTCTTCGACAGCTTCACTCCCGACGGTAAGCCACGGCTGGTTTCGTTTTTCTAGCCCTCATTTCGGATAGTCTTTGCTGCAGACTAGTAGCAACTGTCTTAAATTCGATTCCACCGGTCTCAAATGCGACCAGACTTTTCCAGGTTCGTAAATACATGCTGTGAAGAGCACGGCGTTTTTAATCCCAGCTTTGTCAATTCAACAGAGTCAATCGAGAAATCCCGGCTGCTGCTCGCGACTAAACCAGTTAAGCCCCCCACAAAGTTCTCTTTTTCCAAGTCTCTCACACCGCTTTCGCCTTTCCAGGAAGAGCTAGTGACCGATCGAGCGTATGAATCCAGTCCCCCAAAGCGAACAAATCTCAGTGACGCTTCTTCCGCCACCGCTGCGACTTTGGACGACGAATTCACCGCTCCATCGACGAGAAAGGAGCTGAGCGAGGACGATTTCGAGGAGACAATGAGGACAGACTACGCTCCAGTTCGTCGCAAGCCTCCCATAAACAACGAAGTTCCATTCTTCGCCAGTGACGCGACGCGAAGAACTTCTCCTTGATCAATGCTTTTTACCCCTGTACATAATCTATCATCGGTGACTCTTGGGATTCGAACCTGACACCTAATTAGATTCTTTTTTGTACCTTTCTATTTGTCACGTGGCCACATCCTGGCCGTCGTAGAGTAGCGAAAATCGACGGCCAGGGATGGATCCCAAGAATATCCGGGCTTTTGAAGCCAAAGGAAGCTAGGCTAGGCTAGACGTCTTCTATGATTGATAATCAGGGTTTGGAGGAGGGGAGCGCATGATCGTGTTCGCTGCCGCTGCCCTCGCGCTAGGTAGGATTCTGGCCTCTCTCGATCTTTCCAGGCTTCTGGTGCTAGAAATTTGTCCATCGCGGAGTGTGTGAGGATCACGGAATGCGCGTGATTGCGCCGCATTGTGGCCCCGGCGACGCTGTTGGTGTGGAGATTTATAGCGGAGGGGAGCTCGCGGCGGTGGATTTCTAGCGGATAAGCGGCGCCATGAAGGGTTTCTTCAAGCACAAATCCAAGTCGCCGGCGGATCTAGTGCGGTCGGCGAGGGAGCTGCTCCAGGCGCTCGATCATGTCAACTCCCTCAAGGATTCCAAGAGAGAGGAAAAGGTATTTTATTTTTTCAAAGTTCTTGCTATACACATGTGAATGGTTGTGTGCTTGTGTAGATCGCGGAGCTGTGCAAAAACATTCGAGACATCAAAATCTCGCTATATGGGAACAATGAATTTGATCCTGCGCCGGACTCGTGCGCGCAAATCACACAGGAGATTTTCCAGCACGACACGTTTCGATTGATGATAGTTTGTCTACCGAAGCTGGAGCTCGAGGTAAATCTTTAGACTGTATGGAGGCTTTCTTCTTGACTTAAGGGAGTGTAACAGGCTCGAAAGGATGTGACCCAGATTGTTGCGAACTTACAGAGGCAGCAAGTCCAGTCGAAAGTCTTGGCTTGCGAATACCTGGAAAGGAACAAGGATTTGCTGGACATGCTCATCCTTGGGTATGTTAATTTCTAAAATTCCTTTGTGTTTATTGTCTGCTCTTTCATACTGCAGATATGAGAATGCGGATCTTGCATTGCACTACGGGACGATGTTTCGGGAATGCATCCGGCATCAAAGCATGGCGCGGTAAGTCTTAGTTTTTAGTTTTCCTTTTTCTATCTCGTAACTGTTGGCTTCACAGGTACGTCCTGGAATCCACTCACTTCAAGAAGTTTTTCGAGTACATCGAGCTGGCAAACTTTGCTGTCGCTTCGGATGCCGCTGCGAGTTTCAAGGTCTTGTTAGACTGATCCTGCTGCATGGATGATTCCAAATGTTGCTTGCTGCCCTCCAGTATGTGTTTACATGATTGACTTGCAGGCTCTTTTGCACTGGTTTCTGACGATGAGCTATCCTTGATCCTTAGGAGCTTCTTACGAGACATAAATCTACTGTGGCTGAGTACCTGGCAAGAAACTACGACTGGGTATCTTTCTTCTCCAATATTTTTTTTTTCCGAAGTCTTCCTGACGTGTTTCTTTCTTTTTCTAGTTTTTTCAAGAGTACAACACGAGGCTTTTAGAATCTCCAAACTACATCACAAGGAGACAAGCTGTCAAGGTATCAATCACTTTGAGACGCTTCTTTTTGTTCACTCCACCAAAATCTTTGTTTGCTAGCTTCTCGGGGATATGCTCCTGGATAAATCAAACACTGCAGTGATGATGCGCTATGTCGTGTCAAAAGAGAACCTTCGAATCATGATGAATCTTCTCCGGGTAAGATTTCATGGCAACATTCTTCACGTTTTTTTTATTGTTCTGGCCTTCACAGGAACCGAGCAAAAACATCCAGATCGAAGCCTTCCACGTTTTCAAAGTGAGCAAAAATGGCGCTGCTATGATCGATTAAATCACTCGCTGCGATTGTCTCAGGTGTTCGTAGCCAATACCAACAAGCCACCGGAGATCGTGAGCATCCTGGTAGCAAATCGGAGCAAACTACTTCGATTCTTCAGCGATTTCAAGACAGAGCAAGGTATGTTTTCTATGATTCTTGGGTGTGATCAAACAATGATGATTTGGCTCTGTAGAAGACAAGCATTTCGACCAGGACAAAGCGCAAGTCGTCAAGGAGATTGTAAATTTGGAGCCGAGAGATATGATATAAGAAGTCGTGGAGAGAGAATAAAAGGAAAAAATCTCGTATTTGCCATTTGTCGGCGCCGCTAGGTTTGGGAAACCATTTGCTTGTATTTGGAGGCGCCGCTAGGTTTGGGAAACCATTTGCTTGTATTTGGCGGCGCCGCTAGGTTTGCCGCCATATCTAGCGCCTCTCTTCTTTCTCTTTGTTAACACAAAGAAAAGCTCTCGTGAGGGTTTTTCAATTTTTCCCCATCTATGACAAGGTCCCGCTGCGAGCCCTGCGGATTGGAGGCGACAATTTTGCTCCCCCGGCCGCGATTCTCCATCCAGAGGTGAGATTCTTGCGAGAAATGCCCGGCGCTGCAAGGCAGGAGCGGTATTTCGATCCCAGGGCTTAGAACAGAAAGAAGAGGGCAATGGAAGGGAAAGTATCGCAGGATGAGAGCCGGCGAATGGTATCCGAATTCTTCGTCAAGAGCTTGAATGTGATCCTCGGCGCGAGGATCCCATCCAAGTATTTGCAGCCAGCGACGAGCTCTTCCTCCGCTAGCGCTAGCACCAACAAGAGCTTCAATCTCGTGCTGGTGAATTCTCCCATGAGGAACAAATGCCACTTGAGCGTGGTGGAGCCGATCGTGGTGGACGTGCTGCTGCTCCATCACGGCTCCAGTGCTTGCGCTGCGATCGAGGACCATGTTTTCCGGTGGAGTCCAAGCCAGCAGACCCAGCAAAGCCAGTCATTGCTCGAGCGCTGGGTGGTACACTGCGTTCCCTGGGCGTGTCTCAAGAGCAGCGAGAAGACCACCCAAAGCCCAGATCATGTCACGAAGAACAAGACCGCCACCGCCAAGAAGCCGCCGCTCTCACGGCGATCGGTGGCGGCGCCGCCACCCTCGGCCGAGGAGAAGAAAAATCCGTGGAAGAAGGCGATGAAAATGCTCAGCATCATGCTGCGGTCGCTCTACAATCTCACGCGGCTCCTCCCGGCTTACAGGATCTTCCAGCAGCTCAACTCGTCCAGCTCGCGAGGATCTCCCGGCTGCTGCCACTTTGATCTCTCATACAAAGTGAGGAGCACTCTCAGCGTGACGGGGCATGGAAGCTCCGACAAGAGCCTTTGCAAGTTTAACCTCACGCCGGTGGAGACGGAGCTGGGACGGATGTGCATCTCGGTCAAGTACTCGGATGCTGCCAGCGTCGAGAGAGCCATTCAGCGAACCAACTCCATCTTCTCGGAGATCATCCAGGACTACGTTGGTGGTGGTGGTGGCGATGGTGGCGGCGGTTCTAGTGGTTCTTCCCAGAATCCACACTTTGCTGTGAAGGATAGGAGGATCTGTGCTGCTACTCGGACGATGTCGAGCAACATACCAGCGGTAAGTCTTTCTGTTTTTCGGTTTTTCTCTGCTTTCGTTGGATAGTTTGCTTGCTTTGCTCTCGAGTTTTTGGTTTCTTCGAGCGTTTGGTTTCTTTGTTTTCGTTGGATTGTTCTTTGCTATCGAGCTTCTGGTTTCTTCCAGCGTTTGGTTCTTTGTTTTCGCTGGCTACTTTGCTTGCTTTGCTCTCGAGTTTTTGGTTTCTTCCAGCGGTTTCTTTCCTTTCGTTGGATAGTTTTCTTGCTTTGCTCCAGCGTTTGGTTTCTCTCGTGTTCTTCCTGATTTCTTTGAAAGTGTATGATTGATTGCTTGCAGTATTTGTAAGAGTGAGTGTTAAGATCTTTTGCTTGTTTGTATCAAGAGCTGTTCATCGAGTTCCTACGTTTGAATTGCCTTCTTTTCTGCTGGATGTCTTAAGAAGTTTTCGATTTGGATGTCAAGCAGGCTGAAGTAGCAGCAGTAGCAGCTGTGAAGCGATCTTACAGCAGCCCTTTGAATCCAATCGAGCTCGATCAACAGCAGGAACTCGTCTGTCCATTTGCCTGCGACGACGAGCGAAAAGTCTCGAGAGACGCCGCCGCGGGTGCTCTCATCACAGCTCTCGTCTCCGCGGTTCCAATCGAGAAATCTCCTCCTCGTGACAAATGCTCACGAGCCACAGGCACTCTTCGCGAAGCTCTTCGCGAGCTCAGGAGCTATACAGACATAGCTAGAAAGAAAGCTGTGAATATTTAAAATGTACATATCAACGGCCACGATTCAAGCTCTAAGGCAAGGGTTTGAATCGATGGCCAGGATTTCTAGTTCATATTACCGTTGAGGGGGATTTTGATCGCTCTAGGGCTTTTCAGTCGAAGCATCGGGCCGGGCGCGCGATCCGGAGGCTCCTCCCAGAGATTTCTACGCGATTTCTAGCGATGGAGTGGGAGCTGAGCAAGGAGAATGTGCAGCCGCTCCGCAAGGGCCGGAAAAATGTCGATCTGCTCAACCAGGGGCTCAAGGCGAAGCATAAATCTCCTGCACGCTCCGTGCTGATCGAACAGAGAAGGTGAGTTCTTTGCCGCCCGCGCGCTTCCTGGTTTTGATTTGCTTTCTCGGTCAGGATTTTGCTCGAGAAGATTGATGACTACGTCGGCGATGATCCCTTGGAGCCCTGGATAAGGTAATGCGCTATAGATTCGTGCCCGTTACGAATCTATTTCTTTCCAGATGCATCGAGTGGACGAAGGAAGCTTTCCCTTCCGGCGGTAGTCAGTCTGGGATTCTTCCAATGCTGGAGCTTTGCCTGCGAACGTTCTGCGACGATTCAAAGTATAAGTCGGATTTGCGGTACCTCAAGCTATGGCTGGACTATGTAAGCTCTTGTTTTTTTTTTCTTCCTTTCCTGTTTATCTAGCTCTAGCTTCTCGGCTCTTCTTTTTTATTTTCTTCCTTTTCCTGTTTATCTTGCTCTAGCTTCTAGAAAACTAACTTGCGATGTTCCAGGCGGACAGATGCACTCATCCGCGGGACATTTATGTCTTTCTGGAGGTGAACGACATTGGACAGACTTACGCACAGTTTTACGAAGCGTATGCATCGTACCTGGAAAGGTGCAAAAATCTATCCAAGGCTAACGAAGTTTTTCAGATCGGTATTGCCAGGTTCGTATGATTTCTCGACTTTGCAGGCTTTGGTTAATCCTGGACGACTTTCTGTGAGGCAGGGCAGCGGAGCCAGTTGAGGAGCTGAAAATCAAATACAAGAGCTTTCTTGAGCGAACTCTTAGAAAACCAAAACCAGATGCTGTAAGTTTCAGAACGTTTATGCGGTGTATGCGGCTTATACTGTTGGTACTGTAGGAGGAAGACACTGTGGACGAAGGGCTTGCCAGATCATTTGGATCCCTCGTCCTTCCACAATCTGGACAAAGAACAGGTAGGCTGTTTTGTTTTGTGGCTTGAGTTTTCACTTAACATGTTCTACTGCTCAGGAAGCATGCCGAGCAGGCCTCCACAAAAGCCTTCGAAGGGCAATGCGCCACCGCTGTCTAAGCAGACGTAAAATGTGACTGTTCTATGTGTGCTGTTCTAAGGTTCGACCCATGCAGGTTCTCTGTGTTTGTCGATTCGGAGCTTAATCCAGCATCGAAAGTACCTGGACTGCATGAGAACGGTGCTCAAGGCCACGCCTTACCTGTTTGGACCAATTTAGGATCTCAAGCCGAGAGGACGAAGGAGAACGTTCAACAGCCGACTAGATGGAATGAAGCAAAGGTTAGTGATGATGATCATGCACTTGCTCTGAGAACGTTTTGTTCAGATTCCTCAAAGGCCCTCCAGGCCCGTTTCTGTGTCGACTGAAGCACTGGATGTCTACGTTGACGAAGAATTCACCAGGTACAGTAATATTCAGAAATTTTCATCTCGCGCTGCTTCATGAAGTTACTGCAGTGTGGCATCTCGAAGCTGGAATCGCAGAATATCTACTGCAGCTCTGAAAGTTCGGCTCTCCCGCGGTCAAGACATCAAGATGTAAGCTTCAATTGAACTTCTGATTGATCTATAGATACTCAGCCGCTCTCTTTTCTTTCCAGTGACACTGAAATGCTGAAGCAAGCTCCGCTCCGAAACTTCTCAAGGGAGCTCAGATAGCCACTAGTACACTTTGCCATGAACTCTATGGCTGCAATTTTAACAATGTCTTTGGGAATTTTTGTTGAACAACCGCTTTTCGTAATGGAAAGACTACAGAACTTTTGACATCTCGCTCTTCCTCGTGAAACAACAAAAGACTGGTAACTATTGTTGATCATATTTCATTTGCATGGGCATTGGACCAAACAGTGACTGAAGGAAGTAGTTCAAATAGACATACGAAAGTTCTGACGACTACTTTTCCTGTTCTTTCAGAACTTGCGAGGGAAGAAAACATAGTTGTTGATTCCACAACGGCCTCCATAGAGTCCAGTTCCACGCTGAATCTTCATGTATCCTTGCTCACCCCATTTGGTTCCTCTCGAGTTCTTTAAGATCCAGTAATCGTCCCCGTTGTCGCTTCCATAGCCAACGATCAACACTGCGGTGAGTCCAGTGTCTCCAGTGCTGTGGCAAGGCCCTTTGAAGATTCCCTGCCAAACAAACACCCAAGTAAGTAACTCTTTTCAGTAAATAACGTCTACTTCGGAAGTACTTACTCCAGTGTATTTTACAAAATCTTTAGAGGAACCATCAATGAGAGCCGTGACTGGCTGCTGTGCGACCCTCATCTTTAACTCTTCTTCAATATCGGAAGCTGAAACTCCGGGAGCACACAGAGAGCCCCGCAGTGTGTCGAAACCATCGATGAACACCTTGTATGGATTCTGAAAGGCAAATGTGTAAGTCATCTTTGTTGCCACTTTTTCTTATAACTCACCCCGATGTGGCAGGTGCTGTTTTTCCCGATGTAAGGATACGAGGCGCTTGCTTCCAGCCCCGTTTTCTGAATGTAGACGAAAGAGTCCTGCGGGAAGCCGTAGTCGCATCCGCCATTGTAGACATCGCAGTCGATGAGTTCTTGGGCCGAGAGCTCCACCAAGTTCCCGGTGACGATCTTGTTCAGGCCCTCCACCGCTCCAGCAGTTGCAAAGGCCCAGCCTCCACCTAGAAAGAACGAGAAATACTTTAAGACCAACATCTCGACAAAGCAGGAAAAGAAAGAACTCCAGGGAAGTAACTCGAGAACTGGCAACAGGGAAGGGCGAAGCTACATTCTTACCAGTGCAGTTACCAACATCTTTCACGGACGTCACAGCCCCCTCCTTCCTCCAGTCGACAGCTTCTGGAACGTGAGGAAACGGAGGCCTCCTCGGCTCAGGAGGCTCATCAGAATGATCGACTTTGGTCCGCAGGACAGGCGAAGCAACCCGAGATGGCAGACGAGGCTTGAACTCCTCGTGATCCAGGTCCGGAAGATGGTCCAGGCCCAGCCAGTAGAGCCGGAGGTTCCTATAGTAGTCGTGGAGCATCCTCACATTACGCTTGAAGAGCTCAAACTTACGCTCCTCCTCGGCTCTCTCGGCATACACTCTCGAGTGCTCGGCTCTCCAACGATCAAACATGAACTTAAAGCCAGCATCCGGGTCGAGCTCCTCGGGAGCGTACCAGAAGTTGGGACCCTCGCGATCCTCATCACGACCATGGTGAGGGAATGCAGCAGCCACTACTACTAGTGTGAAGCAACAGGCGAGAAGAGCTAAGAGGACGTGACGACGAGACAACGCCATGGCTACTAGACTTTTAAGGTTTGAGAACGTTTGCTCGGTTATATAGTGAGATATTTACGACAGGTTGCGCGGGCATGGATAACGTGGGAGCGAGAAAATCGAATCGCTTGAAGGTACCGCCAGGGTAAACTTTTCTTTTCGGCTAGGTGTCCGTCTTAGAAGAGTGACAAGTCACAGAAGCGAGACGTCTTTGCAAGCTTTTCTTTTACAAGTTATATCTTAAGCAGGCGAATACATTTAGTAGCAATGGGGGCCATATCCACAAACGGTTGTGATCGGGCAGCATTTGAACAAAAACAAGCAGGATGGAAACATACAGCAGCATTTCTGACCATACCCACATGGTGGGCAAAGTGGCGATGGTGGTGGAGGTGGTGGGGGTGGGGGTGAGGGTGAGGGTGGTGGTGGCGGTGGTGGTGGGGGTGAGGGTGGTGGAGGTGATGCTGTTGGTGGTGATGGTGGTGGGGGTGAGGGTGGCGATGATGGATGTGGCGGGGAGGGTGATGGTGATGGTGGTGGGGCTGAGGGTGAAGGTGAAGGTACTGGTGCTCGTGATGGTGATTGGGTAGAACCTTGACCAAAGCTTATGCTTGACTGATATTCATTGGGTACTTTCATCTCTATGATACTACTCAACGATTCCAGCATTTTACCTCCCAGACTATTGGAGCTAACCATGGATTTACCAAGAATCATCAGCCTACACACATTATTCTTGAATAACTCATGCCTGTTTGCTCCCTTGTTTACGGTGGTGCCATCATCCTTCCCACACCATTCCCTGAGTAAACCTTCCGTGGAACAAGCATTTTGATTCTTGAGAGTTGAACCAGCAGTGGATTGAGTGAGGATCACAGTGAAGAGCAGGAGACAGCACCAATGGGAAGAACTGGAAGAAGCCATTACTCAAAAAGTCTCAGATTCTCTGCCGTATATAAACTCAAATTGCAACCACTAGAAAAAATTATCAGTAGCAAACAAATTGCGTGGCATTCCACCTCAACCATTTCTGTAGCTTGCATCTTATCAAACAAGACACTTGTCTAGAAGAGCAGCCCACACATCACGCACAACGCCAAAACATATTTTAAAGCAAAGGAATTTCAGACCACCTCAGAATTAGCCATAACAACCAGCCTGGGACAAAAGAATTATCTGCGTAGTATTTTCTTGACTGGTGGTATACCAACAAGTTTGGGTGTATTGCTTCCAGATTCAAATACACCGTTTGACATTTGCAGGTTGTGTGCCAAGAAGCTTGAGATACTAGAAGGGCACATTTATGCTCACCGGAAAGACGTAAAGATGACAATCTTATGGGATTTCTCATGGTGAAAAGATTTCAAAGTTTGGTCTCTCATCAAGCCTTAACTGAATTCAAGAAAATCAAAACAAATCTAAGCTCTAGAAATTCATTGAATTTACATTACAGTCAAGTTATGAGAAAACAAAAAGAATGAATGTACAAATTTCCAGCTTCGTCGTCAGGTTTCCAGTCAGGAGCTTCGCTCTGGTGTAGAGAACTTCCCAAGCTCCACGATCATGACGGTCACATCGTCGAGGCACCCTCGCTTGAGTGTCAGGTCTACCAATCGTCGGCACGCAGCACCTAAGCTCGACAATCCGGGAGTTGAAGCAGCACCACGAGAATCTAGTTGGATCGATTCACGCTTCGCTCCCACCTTGAGGGCCAACAATGCGCACTCCGCGGCTTCCTGGTTTGACACCTAGGAAAGCGAAGGTCAGCACATCACGGAGAAGACGTAAAAAAAGAGAAGATTTGCTCTTCACAAGGAAAACGTGAGAGAAGAAAAGGAGAAAGGGAGAGAGAGAGAGAGAGAGATGGAGATGTTTTCCACAAGGAAAGTTTCCAGAGATGACAGGAGAAAGGAGCTCAGAGAGAGAGAGAGAGAGATGGCTATGGCGCTCTCACCAGGTCCCAGAGTCCATCGGACGCCAAGATGAGGAACTCGCAGTCGCTGGTCAGCGGCAAGCTCACCACGTGTGGATCGCACGAGATGAATTCCTTCAAATGTATGTCTCCAATTCCTCTCGACACTGCCAGCACGCCCTGGACCCTCCACGTCCCCGTGTAGCGATCCACGATTCCACCCTGGAAGAACGCGTTGGTGATCGAATTCTAGAAGATATGGATGAACTTACGAGACTTTCTACTCTCCGGCGCTCCGACTCGGAGCTGAATCGATGATCCTGCGTGAGCTGGATGGCCGCGCCGCCGGATTTCACGAGCAGCGCCCGGCAATCCCCCGCATTGGCGACGATGAGCTCGTTCCGGGCAATTAGCGCCGAGACGCAGCTCGCGCCACTGCTAGAACCCTAGAAAACCAAGAAAATTTCAAGCGTGGGGATCGATAGAGCTCGATCGTTACCTGGCGCAAGAACTCGTCATCCGTGGTGTGGTATCCCATCCGGATCTCCTGCGCACCGATTTGCATCGCGCCGGCCTCGTCGGTAGGGCAAGCCGCCTTGACGATGTTGTCCAGGAGATTGCGCGCTGCGAATCTCGCCGCCGCGCGCCCGCCATGGCCATCGAAGACGCCAAAGAATCCCTGTAACCAGATCCATTGAGCCAAGAACCCTAAAATTCCACGGAAGAGAGAGCCCAAGAACCCTAAAATTCCAGGAAGAAGAAGAGATGGAAGGAGGTATCACCTGCTTGGGCAGTGCCGTGAAGCTGTCCTCCATGATCTGGCGCCGCCCCTTCTTACACGCGACGCCATAGCCATGGCCAGCGTGCGTGAGGTCGGAATATTCGTCGTCCACGCACTCCTCCGCCGTGGAAGATTCCCTCTCCGACGCGGGAATGGCGAGCCTGGGCGGCCGCTTCCTCTTGAGCAAGCTCGCCGGCGGCGCGGGCGATTTCATCCCCGGATCGCCGTCGCCGCCGCCTCCGATCGACGCGATGAGCAGCTCTTCCTTGACCACCGCCGCCGCCGACGACCTGGGCGAGAGCGGCGAAGAGGGCGACGCGAATTTGCCCGGCGACGATGCCAGCGAGCACAGCAATCGCGTGGGCGATGGGCAAGTCGCCGCTACCGCCATGATCATCGATCGATCGCAATTGGCGAGGAACACCAGCGATCGATTATCGATCACTCCTTCCAGCCCAGGAAACCAAGATCGAGCCTCGCCACTTCCAGCGCCCCCGGAAAGAGTCTCTCGCCCTTTTTTCCTCTCTTCCCACTCTTTTCTCTCGCGCAAAGTCGCCCACACGAGAGACGAAGAGTTAAAATCGCGACCACCTCTCCTCTCACATTGACCGGGCTTTACTAGCGGCGATTCGTTCGTTCGTGCGGGTCTTCCACGAAAACTTCTCCCTCTCTCTCTCCCTCTCTCTCTCTCCCTCTCTCTCTCTCTCTCACACACGCAACGGTAGCTCTTCTTCTTCTTCCTCCTTTTCTCGACCTTAAGAGAAAAAATTCCTTGGATCCATTCACTCCTCCTCCTTCCTCTCGGCTCGGCTTAAAGAGAGAAAATTCCTTTCCAACGATCGATCCGTTCACTGGCGCTGGCGTGGATTAGATTCGATTCCACTGCTTTCCCTGTGGCTTTGCTGCGCGGAACCAAAGCCTGACTAGAACTTGTGCCAGGCGCGCGATTGACCCGGCTAAAGATATATAATCCGGCCGCACAGCACAGCCACCAAATTCATTTACAATTTCACCGCCACGACTGGACTTTCCAGAGTCCATCTTCTTCGCTCTGCGTAGCTTTCAATATAAACGACTTCAAAGTAGATCTCTTCTCAAGTCCAGACTTTTCCAGCGACTATAAAAGCTTTCCCAGGTAGAAAGAACTTCCAAAAAACCTCCCAACTTTTCGCGTGAGTGCGAGAGATGCCCGATGATCAAGCTCTACACGTTTCGCCACTATTCCCAAAGCTTTCCATCACCACTTCCACCTCAGTCCCATCAAAATCCAAACTTCCTTTCTTCCAGAGAAAAAGAGATCCTCCACAAAACCTTCCATCCTTTCATCCCTGTGCCTGTGCCAGTCCTATAGCATATCCAACCTCAGTCGCATCAAAATCCAAACTTCAGCCTCCACAAAACTTTCCATCCTTCCAGCCCTGTATGCCTGTTCACCAAAATCCAAGCTTTTCCAAGCCCTGTCCCTGTGCCGTTCCATGCATGCTCTAGCTCGTCAAACCTTCCAGACAAGTCTTCTCGGAGTCTCAGTCTCACAGTCCCAGTCCTCGTTCCAAGCACTGGCGTCATCCAACCTTTCTCCATCAAAGCTTTCAAGTTCCTCGTCTGACTGTCCGATGGTCGGCTGATCCTGGATTCCTTCCCTGCCTGTTGCATTCCTGCTTTTCCCTTGCGAGCTCTTCACGTACTGTGACCCGTTGTACGCTTGTGGCGACTGAAATCCGAGACAAACCTGTAGCTCTTGCCGCACTCGGTGCAGGCGTAGGGCCTCTCGCCGGTGTGGACTCGGATGTGCTCCGTTCGGGCCCAGGACCATTTGAACGTCTTCTTGCAGCCTTTCCAGGGACACTTGAGAGGCCGGTCGTCGGCATGGACGCGGTAGTGCTGCATCAGGTAGCTGTGCGAGCAGAGGCGCTTGGAGCACTCCTTGATGGTGCAGATGTTGCGCTTGTGCAGAGCTAGCTCGCTCGCTGTTCGGAAGCTCATCGTGCATCCATCGAAGTCGCAAGTGTGTAGTCCATGAGAGTGCACCATGCCGGGAGCAAGCTTGCGCTTCGTCGCCTCGCTGCCAGGCCTTTTTGTCGACGTCGAAGCCTTCTTCGCTCCTCCTGCAAGGGACAAAAGTTTCATGTTGGTTGCTTCACGCATAGGAAACGTACCTCGTCTAGGAGCTTTCTCTTGTTCTTCTGCTGCTTGAGCTTTCCAGCTCTTGCGCTTGGTCCTCTTAGCTCTGGATTCCAGACCATACTCTGCGGCTTCATCCACAGCGCGTTCGTCATCCTCAACAGACGAAGCTGACACATTGCTATAATTCTGCTCCTCCTCGTCTTCCTCTTCTTCTTCTTCATCATAATCTTCTTCCAGGTCCTCGTCTGTTAGCTGTTTCTCTTCGTCGCTAGCCTCCAAAGATGAAGCTATTTGAGTCCTTTTCCTCTTTGGGATTCCTATCTTCAATGGCGTCCTGTGAGCCGTCGGCCATGCCTTTGGCTTCTCATCCATGTACGATGAATGAAAAGTTGGAGAAAACGAGATAGGCACGTCATGCCATACGCTGTTTGAGAAACAGAGCGTCGATCCTGCACCATGCTGACCATCGTCTTCAGTGATCACCACCGAAACAGGCTCATTTTCAGCAGCTACAGGCTCAGGCTCCTTCTCCTTGGATTTCTGCTCAGGTTCCTCCAGAGGAGCTGGTAACACTTCCTTATATGCCGCAACATTCTCCTGAGGGGCCTCTTCGTCCAAAACCACAGCTTCACGATGAATCTCAGGCTCCTCCTTGCAGTCCACGATAACTAGCGGCTTGGTCGTTTCCTCAGGACACGGCAGCTCCAACTTCCCGTTTTCTTCCTTTTCTTCCTTGCAAACTAGAGGAGGTAGAGGCCGGACTTCTTCAGACGAGCGATTCTCCGTTCGAAGCTCTGGCTCTGACACTTTGACATCCTCGTCAAGAGAAGCAGCATTCTCGGTCTTGACATCGTTGGCCTCGAGTTCAGAAGGAAGACTTTCACTTATTTGCGTGGAGCAAGGCTGAGGCTCGGATTCAACCCGCCATACTGCAACCATTTGTGTCCGTTTCCTTTTCCTACAGTTTTTCCTGAGGCTTGCATAGTCCTCACTCTTAAGTATGTCCTCGTCGTGGCCGCCTTTACTTTTCCCGGTCTTACTATCCGCTAACTCATCCTGGTTATCTTCTACTTTGGAAGCTGTTCGGCACCCTCCTAAAATGGCGTGCGTCTGATCATGTCTCCAGACCCGACCACACCAACGCCCGACTACTTTCTTCTCCTTCGATGTCTTCTCTACCACCAATTCAGTGTCATCTTCGTCTGTTTCTGCCCTGCTGTTTTCTAAAAAGGATGCTGTCGCTGGAAGCCTTGCCTGAACATGATCAATCCAACCGTTGTCAGGTCTCTCAGCCGCTTCGATTGCAGCGCTGATGAGTTGCAAATCCTGCTGGTTCTCCTCGTCATATGTGGTATCTCTGAAGCGACACCGAATGCTCATATCCATTGCAAAGTCCTTCGCATTCTTATCGAACATCTCATACTCTGTAAGCACATGAAAGAAAAGAAAAAAAAGGAATCAGTTCCACAAAGCAGCTGAAAAACAGCGAAGCATTTACCTGGATGATAAACAACCAGCACGAGGCTTCCCCCGCAACCTTGGAGCAGCAAGGATACCTGTAACGCGTGCTCCGAGCACATGATATATGGACGCTGTAAGTTATCCCGGCCTGCTTTCCTGCTCCCATTCGGAAGTAGAACCTTCCGAGACGACCCATTCTCATCTTCCTGTCCGTGGTTCTCATCTGTGACTGTCAATCTTCCTTCCCGAATACTCTCACTGGCTTTGGACGTCGGCTGAACGATCACTACGCAAGAGTAGCACAGAATACCGCAAATGGAACAGCACACATTCCCCCAATCAATTCGAGGAGGACTGTTTTTACCGAGGGTCTTATCATCGCCAACCTTCTCGTCGGCGCCTTCCATGGTTTCGCACACAAATGATAGCAGCGAGATAGAGTCAATTGTGCCTAGGTTCACCAGGTTGGAGAGACTCTCCTTCCCGTCATCTCCCTTGAGAATAACCCGCCTTGCCTGTGTCATGCTAACGAGTTTGTCGAGCACCTGTTGATTCTTGGCCATGTCGTTGACGAACTCTGTTCTTACTGCTTCCTCTGCGCCGACTTTCATTTTGTGCTTTAGTCTCGAACTTCGGACATCCTGTGCGTTTGAACTAGCAACAAAAATTCGTCAATTCAATCAATCATAGATGGATAGCTTGGTTTTGTTACCTTTTCGCAAATGCTAGTGCTGTTTGGTATAATAATTTCTCATGGCAAACCATCGGAGGACGGCATAATAATTCTTTGCGAGCAGCTGCTTGCTTGGCAGCTTTCAACCAGCCTGGACTTGCTAAACTGCTGGTTTCACCGCAATTGAAACCTGGAAAACGTAATGTAAGTAATAAACCACAAGCAAAGCGCGCCTACTATGGCTGAAGCTGAAATTATACGCCCTCGGAAAAACGATGACGTACTCTCCAGGGTTCTGCACAAGTCTGAGATGCGCTTGTCACATACATGCAAACGATCGAAAATCAAAAGAAACACCTGCAGCAGGGAACGCCATTGATCACGAGCACTTCCGGGCTGACGACGGAGTTATCGTCTACAAACAAAAACACATCGCGAGTATCAAGGAAAAAATCCTTAGCAAACCATCACTAACCTTGGTTTCTTAAAACGTCCTCGAAAGCAGGAGCCGCGCCGGGTGGCACCACATACCACGTCTTCGGAGCACCCAGATGCAAATAGTCCACAAAGTGGAGGTCGTGGCTCTCGGTTCTCCATGACCAGTGGCTGAAGAGCATGGCTATGTATAACAGCGGAGACGTCACGCCTTGGACCTCGCCAGGCATGAATCTCAGCAAAGATCCCTGTAACTTCGCCAAGTATCTCATGTTCCAGGGACTATTGACGAGCTTCCACCCTTCCCTGTCCACAGCACTCTTCTTCCTTTTCTTGCCATCGCCCTGCTCGCTATCACTCTCCGGGAACGCGGAGCCTGGAATATAGTCCGCATATTCCACAGTCACTGGCTTATCCTCCTCGATTGTCTTCCAGAACAGAGCCTCCAAGACAACCGGAACAACATCCCTGGAAGTTCCAACCTGTGCTCGAGTAAAAGCCTTGGCCTTGATCTCAAACTGGTCCAAGGTATAGCTTGCCCCCTTGCTGTGCCGAGTTTGAGCGTGAGTGTGATCGCCCAACTCTTGCTTGCGAGTGGTAAACTTGGATCCCGCTAGAGAATTCGCGTCGAGCCCAATCGATGCCTTCTTCCCCGACGATTTCCCGGCCGCGGCTATGGACCTGTAGAGGTTTGGAAGGAGCGACTTCCGGCGCGGCTTCACGGTGGGCGGGACGATCTTGCAAATCCCAAACTGCCCAGCTTCCTCCTCGATCCTCAGCACGAAGGAGATGGGATCCACAAACTCGGCCTCGCTGGGGCGATACTCTGGAGCTACAGGAAGCCCCTTGATCCACGGCGCTACTTCCACCTCCACCATGTCACTCAGAATCTTTCCCAAATTTTCACCGCATTGATCGATGCTAAACAGAGCATGCCCTGCTTACGAGCAAGAGAGAGAGAGATTTCGCCCTCTTCTTGCTCCTCTCTCCTGCAAGAACAGGGAAAAACAGAGGATGTTAGCGCGAGGATCAATCCTGGAGCGAAATATTTCGCAGCGCAGCTGAATCGATCGAGAGCTTACCGGATTTCGGTAAGAACTGTTGGTATTCCTGGCCGATCTAAACCCTAGCGCGCCCAGCACCTTGCCGCCTGCTCGCGCAGAGCGTGATGCTTTGCCCAAGCCCTAATTCAAGAAACCGAGGGAAGAAAAGAGCAAGCGCGCCCGCCTCAAACCCTACCCAGCGATCGATCGAATGGGAGCGTCGTGCTACCCTCGAGCTGTTGCCCTCGCTCGAAGAATCAATGCGATCGATAGCTCTTCCCCTGTTCTCCGCGCCACATTCCCTCCTATTCCAGCGTCACAGTAAGAAAGAAAAGACCTAGAAATCGACACCACTGGAGCGCGATCAAAGCACTAGCAACGGGAAAACTCTGTTCTCCGAGAGGGGCAAAATCCATTCCCAAAGCTACGGGAATATTCTAAATGCGTAAAAACAGAGTGACATTCGTAAGAACCCTAATTAGGGTTTACTGGGGAGGGAAAAATGGGCAATGCGGCAGATCCGGCTTGGATCGAGCAGCTCAAGCGCGGTGGCGCGCTGCCGCTCACAGGCCTTGATTCCTGCTTCAACGGCTGGTGCTCGCCTCCAGGTGATTGCTTCAGAGTGCGGGGCCCGGATTATTTCGCTACCAAGGCCAAAATCGCCGCAGGGGATTGGCTTCTAGAGCCGCTCGCCGTCGACTGGATCAAGAGCTCCTCCAAGATCTACGACGTCCTTAGGCATCCCCAGTCGAGAATCGCGGCAGCTCTAGGCAATTTGGATCTAATTCCTGGCAACTCTTCCTCTATTCTTTCGAATTCTCCTACCTCTCCATTCGTGTGGGCTTTTAATCTCCAAGTCCCCAGCAAGGAGAACTACAGTGCCATCATCTACTTCGTCAGCCACCATCCCTTCCCGGAGAACACTCTGATCGACCGCTTCCTCCGGGGAGACGACGCCTTCAAGAACTCGAGGCTCAAGCTCATTGCCAACGTCGTCCAGGGGCCCTGGATCGTCAAGACCGCCGTTGGCGAGCAAGCCATCTGCGTTCTCGGAAGAACTCTCACTTGCAAGTACTCCACCGCTCCAAACTTCCTGGAAGTTGATGTTGATATCGGCTCCTCCATGGTTGCCAACGCCATCGTCCACTTAGCGATCGGATACATCACCAGCCTCACTGTGGATCTCGCGTTTCTCATCGAGAGCCAGCATCCGGAGGAGCTTCCGGAGAGAATCCTTGGGGCTGTGAGGCTCGGGAACCTCGAGCTCCAGTCGGCAGTGCCACTGGAACTAATGTCCGGTGACAGTAGTAGCAATTCTTTCCCGGGAGAGAGCTCGTTTAGCTCCCGGCTATGGAAGGGATTTACATCCCTCTTGACACCTGCGGGACAAAGCTCTACACGGCCAGATGATGAAGATGACGACGACGTCAAGGACAGCTCGTCATAGAAACGAAAGCTCACCTGTGTATAGTTCTATCGCCTGAAAGGAACTTACTGCTTAACCGATTTCTTGTGTCGTTTCCATATGCTTTTCTCCCATTCCGATCTAAACTTTTGATATAGTAGCATTGCACTTCGGGCATCCTCCACCTGAAAGAAGAAACAGCATACAATCCTTCGATGTCTGGTGATTTTTTCTACAGCTTACCGAAGAATGAGCGCCATCTTGAACTTTAGCGTCGAGAAACAGCGCAGCTAAATGCTGGAGGGATCTTGGTCGCCCATGCTCACTAAAAAACCGAGAAAGAAACACCATAAGTTCCACAAGCTCTTCCTCTATACAAACCTGCGAAATGGAGTATAGAGACTAGTATCCCGAGTATCAGCTTTTGGATGGTTCAACAAGAGAACCTGCAAAGTGCGTGAAATAAATCAAATCGTCTACTTCAAAACAATGAGTCTACCTTAAAATCATAATGTAAAGCGTGCCCGACTAGTATACGCCCGGATAACAAGTCGGATACTTCTTGTTGCACGGTTGCAAAAGCTTTCCCTACAGGCAAAGAACACCAAAACAATCAAAACGAAACGAAAAACTAATGCTTGGACCACACCACTTACCATTCTTTATATCTTTGTAGCGAATCCCGCTTACATGAGTGCGAAAATCCGTGACAAATTCCATGGGTTTCACATATTCATCGTACACTATGTTCCCATGCTCATTCACCTTTCGACAAAGTCCAAGCAAAATAAGAAGCTAAAAAACACTACGAGAAATTCGTTACCAGGCTGATTCTAGCAAGAACGCTTTTCTTTCCCTCAAATCCAACTCCCACCATTTCGCAATCCATCGCAAGGACCTTTGTTACGCTATAACACACCAAAAGTTATAAAAAAATCCAATGCGTTCGTGCCAGTACCTAGAATCAGTGCTGGAAGGCTCTGGGAGCTTTTGGAGCGTGGTTTCTTTCTTCTCTACAAAGCGCAACAATGTCAGGAAATAAAACAAGCACGATCCACGAATCAAACCTGACGCGATCGAAATTTCCTTGCGCTTCTTCGCATTAATCCCCAACTTCTGCACAGAATCAAAGAATGAGCGCTTTAGAGTCCAAAATCTCCCATCGCTAAAAGCCTAGGAGCTGCCACACCAACTGATCGCAGCTCCATCCAATTCTGGCTCACAGCCACCGCCTTGCCACTCGATCGATCCACAGAAGCGAATTTTGACCGTTTCCTCGAGCCCGCAGCCGCTACCGCATTCTCGCGCTCTCGCTTCATCCCAAGAACCCTAAACCCTTTCTCCTTTAGGGTTTTAGGTTGTTAATACATCTTTTAGCCCAAGAACCCTAAAATCTAACAAAGAAAAAAGTGAATGCCCGTACTTTGAGACAACAAAAAAACCATTTTTGATGGATAGCTCTGGTTTGTTTACTTCTTCCCTTCTTCCTTCTCGGCCTCGGCAGCCTTCTTCGCGCGGATTCCAACGAGACGCTTGTTGGTCTGCTCGATCCGGAGCTTCTGATAAGCTTTCACGGCCTTCATCTCGTCGGTCACTGTGACAATGCCGACCTCGGGTTTCTTTGGAACAATTGGCAGCACTGGCCCTTGGAACTGCGTCGCAGTGCTCAGAACCTCGGGTTGCGAATCGCCCATCTGAAAAACACGATGATTTGAGTGTCGCGAATCCAAAAAATGCAAAGCTCCGCTCGCAAGAACTCGAAAGGCATCCATCTTTACCTTTGTTTTCTTAGCTTTGCGTGGGAAGACGATGAGCTTCGTCTTGTACGTGTTCAATCGCTGGACATTCGTCTGCAAGCTCTCGAGGCTCCGGTTCTTCCTCCTGTGATCCAGGGCGATTCCAATCGTGCGAGCGAGCTTCTTGGAGATCCCAGCTTCCTGGATCTCCAACAGTGAGCTACAAGCAAAGAATGGAAGAGAAATTCCTACCTTGAGCTCCTCCAGCGAGAACCCTCGGCCGTATTTCACCTTGCTGTTGTACTTGACGGTCGGGCAGTGGACCACCGGGCGCAGAGGGCCGGATGGCGGGCGAGGGAAGATCTTGGCAGCCTTGATCGACCGGGCTGCAGGAAGAATCGCCCAAAAACTAAGAATGGCGAGAGAGAAAAGAAGAAATCGCGAATTCTACTCACCCTTTCTTCTGCGGACCTTGCGCGCCGGCTGATTGAACCATGTCCTCACCAGCTTCTCCCAATCCTTCTTGAAATGCTGATTGGGAATGACATTGTTTCCCTTCACCATCGCTAAGCCGCCGCCCTGACCAAAAACCCTAGGATGGTTCTTAGGGTTCTTGAACTCTCAAGTAATTGAACGGTCAAGATGAGAGACAATGAAACAACGGTCGAGATGGAACAAAAGATCTGACGGCACAGAAAACTCGGTACTTAGTGTAGGAACTTTAAGGAGATAAGAAATACAATTTATATATTTGATAAACAAAAAAAAAATTATTCCTTACAAGCCAACGAGCTCTAAATTCTCGCTTTCTCGCTCTCTTCTCTTCTTCTCGTTTGTTCTTCCCTTTTCTATGCGGAAACTTCGATCTCTTTCATGGATTCGCCCTCTTTAAGCTGCGCGGAGACGTTCTCGATCGCGGCGTTGAGCTCATCGATCTTGGCGCTCAAGCTCTTTCTCGTCGTCTGCAAGCGAAGATAGCATTAGCTCTTGACGATGAAAACCAAAGTTCCTAGAAAAGCTCGACATGGAAAACTCAAGAACAACGATGCTCCGTTCGCACTACCTCGATTCCATTCTCTTCCTCGAGTTCGTGGAACTTTACTGGAATTGTTAACACCCACGGGAGGGATTCGGAGGATGAGCTTACCTCGATCCCTTCGTCTTCCAAATACTTGTTTGGTTTTGTTGGCAGCGCCGCTCCGTTCTCACTACTCACTTTATCGAGCGATCGATTTAACTTCTCGCATGCATAGGCAGGCACGAAATTATAAGAACGTTTCTCTGAAAGAAAAGCGAAAAGAAATAGTTACCTGAGGTGCTAGAAGGTAGCCAAGAGCACCGAAAACAACACCACCGAGTAGAAATCCAGCAACAAAATCTCCTGGTCCACCACCACTTCGTCTGGAAAAAAAAAAGCAAAGACTTTAAGTCCGATGAAAGAAAAAATTCTTGGCTGTGTGACTTAAAAAAAGTACCTGTATTCCGCCGCTACGACTGTTCGCCTTGTTTGCTTCAAACGCTTCGATTGCTGTGCCGGGGAGATTCTCAACGATCCAAATCGAATTTCACCTGGAAGTGGCAAGAAATGCGAGCGCTGTGATCAGTCAAATGCAGATCGACAGCCGCAGCATCGAAATCTAGGCATGCAACATGAGAATTTCGAGCAAGAAATCGGACAGGGAGCTTACCGATCGAGGACTGGAAGGCGCTGCATCCGGGAGACATGGTCGCCGCGGCGGGAGAGGTGATCGGCAGCATCATCGTCGTCGCCATAGCTCAAGAGCCTCGACTAAGCCCTGAAAAATGTGAGGATATTCTGGGACATATAGTGCCAAAAGCCCGCACATTCCGCTCAGCCGTTTCATATTCCGGCTAAGCCGGAATATTCAACGAATCGTCTGGCGGAGTTGCCAACAACGACTAGGATTTTGCCACGTGGACGGCTCGCGATTAGGGCATTTGTTTTATTTTTGAGTTTCAGAATGGCGGTGAGAAGGTAAGAGAAGAATGCCGCCCAAGGAGGGAGAGAAGGACGAGCTAGATGTTGTCAAGGGCGAGATCCAGGCCAAGGACTTGCAAATCCTGTGCAGCAATGACAAGATCGCCAGGCTTGAGGAGCGGGCGTTCAATCTTGGGAGCGTCATCAAGGAGACGCGCAGGCAAGCTGAGGACAGGGACAAGATTCTGGAGGATCAGATCGGCGCGCTCACCAGGTATCCTTCTTTCTCGCGAGACTGTGTTTCGAGACTGTGTTTTTCCAATGCAGAGATGCAAAGGAATTTGATCGGCGAAGCGAGGAGATGGAACAAATTATCGAAACGCTCAAGAAGGAGAGGGCTGAGTCTCATGCCGCGCTTCTGGCGGAGCTCAACGAATTGAAAACCACTCACAGGATCCAAGTCGAAGCAATCCAGAAAGAGCTGGATGATGCACACAATTTGATCCAAGCAGTGAAGGAGTTTACGCTACGAAGGGCCACTATCGAAAAAGAGATCCAAACGTATGGACTTCTTTCCTTTGTGCTTCAAGTTATTTCAGGCCAAACTAAGTGTTTTCTTTGTTTTTCTTGTTGGCAGCTTGAAGAACCAGCTTTCCAAGGAAAAGAAGCAACACCAAGAGGCCTTGAACGACGTGGAACGAGTGGCACAACAAGAGCGGGAGAGATTGCGCAAAGAGATGGCGGTTAAAATCGAAGAGACAAAGCTCTTGATGATCAAACAAACGGAGGAGCAGCTCCACGTCGTATGTTTCTCAATCGGGCTGCTGCATAAGGAGACAAAAAGAAGAAGTAAACTTGATTCTTTCTCTGGAGTTTGTCAACTGATATCATTGCGATTCTGATTCTTTTGTACGCAGAAAACAAAAAGAACGATTTTGGAGAATGAGCAGCTAGCGAAAGAGGTTGCCTATCATATCAGACAGACGGAGCTGCTGGTTCTGAAAAATGGACAACTTCAGCACGAGAACAACGAGCTTGAAGACAAGATGCTTGCAGCAAAAGAGGTACTATTGCTACATTCTTCTTAAATCGAAAGGATGGCTATGTTCTTATGAAGCTAGAAGAAGAACTTGCGAGGAAAAACCACAGTTATCAAAAGGCTTCGCGGATCCTGCTGTTCAAACTTCAAGGTCTTGTCTTCCCTTGTTTCCAGATTTTCATTCTGACGTTTTTGCCGTTTTTTAGAGCAACATCTGGCCGCTAATATTGAGGCCATTGAAGAGATGGACGAGCTGAAGCATCTCATCAACCGTAATGAGCAGCTCAAAGCCGAAATTCAGAAAGAACACCAAGTATGTCTCGAGGCAAAACCTGTGCATTATCTTCGTTTGTATTGGTCAGGATCTAGAGAAACTAAAAGCAGCGATAGAGGAGAAAACAAAATGCGCTGAATCGGTTGGAGCAGCAGAGGAAGCCGTGAAGTTCCTTTATCTTGCTCTTGAAGACGTCGAGTTGGAAGAGCTTGCGAATGTCGACGAAGACACCAGGTACACTTGTTTGAAAAAGCTAGCGCGCGCCTAAACTCATCTTACAGTCTTATACCGGAGGACGGCGTCGACTTGAACACTCCAACCAACCATCTCGATCTGCTACCAATTCAGCAGCGCCAGGACTTTTTGAAGTGAGCTTTTTTAGCTTTCCATCACATTCTGATATCGTCGTGTCGTGTCTTTTAATCACAGGCACTTGCTTAGAACCGCAATATCCTTGCGCGTGATGATGCAAAAGGCAATCTCATCGGACACTGCCCCGAAAGGACAACCTTCTGTTTTTGGATCATGGTCCCATGTTTTATACGAGGGTGAGAGAATGCATGATTTCTTCGGTGGTACACTTACAAGAATTTTCCTTCCAGGCCAAGAAGACAAACCAAGGATCTCAGTCGAGGATATCCTCGCATTCCAAGTCGACACTAATGACCTCGACAATGCAGGCCCACCGAGGAGAGTTTCGTGTGCCATACAGACAAATGACGAGGTACCATTTTGCTAGTTTTGCTTGGAGCTTACCAGATTTTTTTGCAGTGGGAGCCAACTCCAGATAGTCTACCCCCAGCTGATGAGCAGCACTCTTTTCGATCGAGCTCCTCGTGCATAGGTCCTGAGAGAAAACGGATCAACATTGTCAACCTAGAGTTACACCAACACTCTAGTAAGTGTGTTTTTAACGAAACTTACTCGGATCAGCTCGCATGATCTTTGCTCTTGCAAATTCCAATAACTGTGACAAAACATTTATTATGCTTTGATTCACCCCATGAAGTATTATTCTCATGCTACATCTGTTATCAAAGAAAGAAATATTCAAAATTGACAAAATGACAAAATTGTAGTTTTTATACAATATATGTCAAGTAGATATAATGTATTATTACTACCAAAAAATTCTGTTCTTATTCCTTCAATGATTAATGCCCAAACTTTTTTCAATCCCCTAAACTCTATATTCACTTTTACTTTAGTTCTCATTTATCTTGACAATATAAAGTTGTATTTTGTTAAAATAAATGCTTTAGATTTGGCTTTGGGTGTTATTTTGTAATAGAAAGGGCCGGGCATTATATATAATATCTATGAGATACTCTTGATTAGTATCTTTAATGCTTTATTTTATTAACAAAATATTTGGGTTGATCTCCTTCCTTTTGCGAAGTTTGCTTATGATAATTCTCAACACTTTTCAACACATAACTCTTCATTATTCATCAACTATGCTCTTCATCTTTTTTAATTATATTCATGTCCTTTAGCAATTGGTTTTATACTTGGGAGTTTACTTCTTATTTTACTCATACTTTTTTGGGTTTACTTTTCATTTTATACTCAGCAATATCCTTTTAAACCTAGTTATACAGCTTGATACTTGATATTAAAGGGGGATATTATTGTGTATTTGCTATACCTTTATATTTACTAAAAAGTATATTTACCACTTTTGGTCACAATAAAGATTAAACCCTAAAACTTTGTTCAACTTAAGATTTGCAATATACATGGATGGGCATCTAGGATTAACGTGGATCCATACCTAGGTTAAATTTTTGGATTAAATTAGAGTTGAACCAAATTAGTTTTGAAAGCTTTTATAAAAGTAAGGGTTTGAGGATTTTATATTCAAGGTGTTCCATAAAAAACCATCTTTTCTTCTCATTTTTTTAGTATTTTAGTAATTTCATCATTTCCGCTTTTCTTGACAACAAACTCCTAGCAAATTAATATATTATTATTATTATTTTGTGAAAATTTATTAAAAATAAATTATAAATAATTATAAATTAATTAATAACCCTGCAAACTAGATAAAAGTAATGATAGTTTAACTAGATTTATTTTAATAAAAAAATAATATAGATTTGAACCCAAAATCTCTTATGTGTACATAGGCATTTAGGATTGGATGCCTAAATGATACTTCTAGACAAGTTTTACCAGAAATAGTTTCTATCAACCTTATTTTAAGGATTATAGTTTTCTTTTCTCTCCTTGTCAGTCTTTTATGCTCTTGTAATGTTTTAAACAGCCTTATGACATATCTCATGTATTTGCAAGCATGATAAGTAAACATTCTTTTGCAAATTTTAAAAATCATATAAACCTATTTTGTTTTGAAACAAGATAGGGTTCTTGGCGATGTATATCCTAGTATATTCCTTCCATCAAGGATATTTAAGCTTGATGAAATTTTTAGCAAGGAATAATTGAAATTGCAAAGTTAAGTTTAACATTTCTATTAACATTTCTAAGTATGACAACTAAGTTTTTATTATTTATAATTTATTTATTAATTGATAAAATATCTGGAATGAGCTCTCCATTTATAAAAGCTTGTATTCCTAGAACTAATTCCATATATAATGAGAAAGATGTTTGTGAATTTAAATATGATGTTTTAGATTTTGTCCGTCAAAATGGTACAGGTCGTCAAAATTTTATTCAGAATAATTTATCACTGACTGTTTTTGTTGATTCGTATTATCCAAAGATTATGGATGATATTGTTGAGGCATTTGATATTATATGGAACGAATGTATAATTCCTTTTGGTCAAGGAGGATTTGTTTATTTAGATAATAATTTATTACATGTGAGACTCCAATCTAGTCAATATACTGATTTAACACTAAGCTATAACAATAGAGACTACAATAACTTGCAATACAGCTTTTACACAGTATGTCCTGGCTGGAAAAATTGCATCAAACCATTGTCTTATATAAATACAAATATTTGCCTATAAGTACCTTTTAATATCATACATATATATAAATATAAATAGATATTGAATTTTGTGAGCTTCTTGAAACTCTAGGAACTTTTAGTTTCAATATTTGTTAAAATTGTTATATGTTTGTCTAGTTTGAGACTTCTAGTTATAAAGTATTAGTTCTTATTGATTAATATAACAATTGCTTAAGCACAAAAGACAATTAGATCAGCATAAAGGAGGATGAGATGAATTCATTTTAAAATGTTTGGAATGAAATTTCTTGAAATGATACATTTATCTCTAAAGTTATTGGATGGAACAACCATACATATATATAGTGCATAAATGGACTCTCTCTCTCTCTCTCTCTCTCTCTCTCTCTCTCTCTCTCTCTCTCTCTCTCTCTCTCTCTCTCTCTCTCTCTCTCTCTCTCTCTCTCTCTCTCTCTATATATATATATTCTCATCTAAAACCTGTAGAGACCAGCTCGTATGATCTTTGTGACCAAAAACTCCAATAGCTGGGACAAAACCTTCACTATACTGACCATAAAATATAATTTCATGCATTGTCTAAGAAAAACTTTGTTGAAATCCCATCCTTAGATAAGATATATTTATATTCCACACGACAAAATGTCTGTTCTGAATTTTAATTTTAAAATCAAAGGAAGTATTTTCTATGACAACACATGTCAGTGTCTAGGTTTCATATATATCAATAAACTATTCATAATGTAAAAACTTACTATTGCCTGTTTATTTGATAAAGAAAAGATAACAACTTTATATTTTAAAATACCATAAAAAGTGGCACATTGTCATTGTTTGTACAATGCTTTTGATTGGTTATGGATACATCACAGTATACATAGATGCAATGCATAAACCTGGCTCACTCACTGAATTCATAATGGATGAGGTTGCATGATTTTTGACTTGACATCAATGCAAAATTGGGTTTGTCACAGATAAAACGAAAAGTTATTGCTCTATCATAAACTAGCAATTGCCCAGCAAATGCTGGGTGGTTGGCAAATTTGATGCCATTTGAAGAGGTTTTCTAAGCTTAGCTATGTTTGCTGTTTGATCAACTCCACAATTGAAAGACATTCTCATAACCAAATGTGTTATGAGCATTATATAAGCTAGATTAGATAACTGTTGAGTTGCATTCCTCCATTTTGAACACAAAAAGCCCAAAGAATACTTCCAAGTCCATCTTTGGTGCAAGTGTTGGTACTTGCTCCTCAGCCTGCTAGAGAGGTTCCTGGGATGAGCGAGAAACCATTATATTGCAATGAGAGCTGCACTCAAAAAGCAATAGGATGAAAACTGTACCTCTGCCATTAGCAACTAAATAGCACATGCCATAACCAAAATGGGACAGCACTCAAGGCACACTTGTCAATGCCAGCTTTGTTGTGGTGTGCATTTGAAACTCACAACTTCATGGTTGGATATAGAATTGTGCCATGTTTTTGTCAGTCTACTTAAGAATTTCAGCATAGACTGTATTCACAGTGTAAAAGTGTTGATCATGTGGTATAAGATTGCCTTGAAGGGGGGTTGCAAGCACTTGAACACGAAGTTGTTCAGGTGATCTACACCTTGACAGAGCAACATAAAGTTGACCATGTGTGAAAACAGGTTGGGGGAGGTAAATGCCAACACGGTCGAAAGTTTGGCCTTGGGCTTTAGAAATAGTTAAGCAATAACCCAGACGAACTGGGAATTGTCTTCGAGACATCTTGAAAGGGATTTCAACATCAGAAGGTGTAAGGGTAATACGTGGAATAAAAACTCGCGATCCCTTGAATTGTCCCGTGATAATTTCACAATCTAAAACGTTTTGAGATGCTTGCTTGAGAATGAGGCAAGTGCCATTGCATAAACCAATTTGTGGAGATATGTTCCTAAGAAGAATCAAAATCACATTTTGTTTTAGAATTAATTTGTGTGGTGGTAGTCCCGATGGGGTGATTGAATTTAAGAATTCAATTGGGAACTCTTCAGGGTGATCTGAGTCAACCGTGTCAATGCTCAAATAAACATATGGATCACCTGGTAGTCTTTCAACAATGTCATTATTTATTCTGAATGTGTCGTCATTGAGTGGGGTGAGAATAACCTTTGATGCAGCTGTATAAGTATTTATAATATCATCGGTATTTGGGAAAACAAAGTTTACAACAGATGTAGTGATAGATAATGCATGTGGTATTTTGATAATATCTGGTGGGAGACATGGCAGCTGTAAACTACTATCACCATTGCCAAGTTTGAGAAGCCATTCAGAAAAACAAAGATTGTTTGAACGCATATTCTTTGTTAATGTTAGTGTTGTAAAGAGTGACCATAGTCTATTCATTTTAACTGAGCTTGAAATAATAGAGGTTCTATGGCCATGGGGAACAATAGGAAGGGTTTGACGAAAGTCACCACTTGTAATCACTATAACGCCTCCAAATGGTTTAGAATTACATTTGAGATGTTTTAAACATTTATCAACCACAGAGAAAGCATGTGTATGAACCATACTAATTTCATCCCATATGAGAACATTTGCTTGTTTAATGGTTTTTCCAGCATCACTATTAATTGTTAAAGCAGAGACAGAAGTTTCATTTAAAGGAACAGGAATTTTTAAAAGTCATATGTGCCGTTTGACCATATTTTAGCAAAATGCTTGCAATCCCAGTCCATGCCATACTGATTACTTTTATTTTTTTTAATTGTAATGCTGTAATGATAGTATTAAGTAGAAAAGTTTTTCCAGTACCACCAGGTCCATCAATAAAGAAACATTGATGCTGGTTAGTATCAATGGCATTTATAATGAGTTCAAAAATATAACGTTGTTCATAACTGAATTGATTTATGTTTGCATTTATTTGGTCTTGTGATGGGTCAGGGATCTCTGTATTAAGCATGTGTTTGATAATGGGAGTAAGAGTTGGGAGTGGTAAACCAAAATCACAATTAGATTTATTGTGTAGTTGGAATTTTGAATTAATATCGACTAAAGCAATGTCAAAATAGTTTATGTCATTTCTAGCATAATCCTCAGACATATCAATTTTGAATTGATCCCATAATAGAT